GCTCGCCATCAGCTTCGCGCGGTTTCACCAAAATAATATTACGCGTTCTCTTCGGGGGCTCCGGACTGGCTACCGTCGCAAACCACCACTGATGGTGGCCACCCTGCCCACCCAACAGTGTTTACCCTTTTTGTACCTACGCGTGGTCGTGGGTATATATAAACATTATTACGTACCTACGCCGTATAGTATATAACGATCATGGTAGGTTGGGGGAGTGTGTGTCGGATTGGTGAGATATAGCGTAGGTGACGATGATACCAGATCGTTATTAAAATATATATGTACCTATATTGAATAATATTTGAAAGTGTAGGTTTATCAATATACACTACGATGTACCATTATTTTATTAATTATTACCTACTGTTGGATTTAATTAGTAACCTAACCCAGACAGAATGTGTGGAACTGTTTCCGCGTTTACTCGGTCGCAATAATATCAAACGCGAGTTCAGGTTTAGGGTTTACCTGAATCACACAAATTCCATTATTATCCAAAGTTATTAAAGTTATTAATATAATGATATAGCTATATAACTATTTAGTATGGGTTATAAATGCATGATGAGTAGTAGACTAGTATAGACTATAGAGTAGCCATTATTATATAATTAAATGAAAAATAATAAACAATATTGTATAAAACAACTACGGGGTACTGTGTTTTCCATGATGCAAAATATTTTTGAATTAATTATAAGTTATTAGTTTATTATACCTACCATTAGCAGTGGACTATTTATGATTTATTTCTCGGTATGTATGTGAGAAGGGGTGGCAGATAAAAATTCGGCCCCCTGTTCGCGCTTAATTGTTACCTTATATTTAAGTGAGGACCACTAATATACTAGGCCATTGGCTTTATTTAAAATATGACACTGGTTTGGTTGTTTTGGTGCCCATTTTTCAAAGGGTGTTATACAAATATATTTTTCGTATTGAGAAAATATCAAGTACTAATTGAAATATCTACAGTTTTTGAATTACAACAAATTACAAAATCCAATTCGTCAAAAATTAGTGTTTTTATTTTATTTTATTTTAATTTTTTTCCTGATTATAAAGAAAATATGACCTCCAAAAAACCAATTTATTTTATCCAATTCGTTACTAGAAACAACACATAAAGTTGATAATTCATGCATTTTTACTCCTCCAAAATAAAATAAACAAAACATAAAATTAAACAGTAAATTAGAAACTCATCATTGGAAATATAATCATCGCTCCGTTCTAAATCTAAAAGGCTATAGAGGAGGGGGGTTGATAAGTTTGGTATATCACCAACATCACCCCCAGTAAGGCAGTAAATAAACGGGAAATGGTAAACTCCTACAAATGTAGGTAATCTCCTACATAGACATAGTGTTAACTCTTACAAAAGACAGTGTTGACTCCTACAAAAGATAGTGTTAACTCCTACAAATGATGGTAAAATAATAGATGGTAAGTTTTTTTAAAAAAAGTCAAATTAATTTTTTAAAAGGTGGATAAGTGAATACCGCCTGTATTGCTGTTGTTTCCTCCTAGCATAGTAGCATATAGTATATACTTATATAAATTTAATAATTTAATAATTTCCTCCAGTTTAAATCGTTTAATTAATTAATTACCATACAATATTAAATATTAAAAAACCAAATGACTTATGTACATTTAGGTAAAAAAAATCAAAATGATGTTAAAAAAGAAATCAGTAGAAAAAAATTTGTCTTCGTATTTTCGACATTATAAATAAAATATCTGTCTTGCAATACATTAACACATATTATACAAAATTCAATTCAGCTACCTATATAAATAAAAACTTAAACAATAATCAAATTAAAATAAATCATTAACCAAGTGTTTGTATTTTATCTATAAAAATATATATATATATGCATAATATATTATATTATTATTATTTTAAACTTATCAGTTTTAGCTTTTTGAGCTTTTCAATTCTAAAATCGTGCATTTAAATTTCAAATAAAATGTTGGAGTGTAGGATATTACCCTATTTATTTCTGGTAAAAATGTCCATGTAGGAAATTACACTATCTTTGATTTTCAGGTAAAAAGATTATTCGTGTAGGAGTTTATATTTGGCCAAATAAACTACTGAATATTAAGTAGGTACACCGTACTAATATAAGTCATAAATGATAATACATATGATATAAAACAATGTACCTACTATATTTTTTGTAAGTCAATTATCCTTTTTTTAAACAGTATTTAAATTGAATATTTTTAAAATGTTAAAATGTTATATAGTCGTAGGAAGTTATTTGGAACAAGTTGTTTTATCCACCTATGGAATATAAAACTCAATGTTTTGGAAATTTGTACATTAAAAAACAAATGAATATCTATGCTACGATTTCAATGAGACCATTAGACCAATATCATTTTAAGCCTGGTGGTTATCTGCAGTATTTTAATTTATATATTTATATAATGTTATGATACAATCTTTATTCTTTAGTAACTTATATAGTATTTTTTTTTTTTACAAAATATTCGTTTACTCGTTATTGTTTGATATCAAAAAAAGTCAAATAATATTATCTTCTTTAAATGGATACATGGTTCTACCTTATAACTGTTGTTTTCTTGACAATTTAAAATATTCAGCTTTAAATGTCTTAAATGAAAGTTTTTTTTGTTAAATAAATTATTTTACCTATAAAGTTGTTCAAAATGAATTATTCGTAAATTTATAATTAATATTTAAAATTAACCAGAAGTGTTTCGTAATACCTACATGTTGTTAGATGATTTATGATTATTCTAAATAAGCAAACTACCTATATATTTTATATCTGTAATACCTATGTTAAATTTTGAACTTTATACAGAAGCTTCTTATTCGGTATATATATGTATATTTTTTTTCACTAAGTCAAGGACTATTGTCTATTTTTTTCCTTTAAACTTCTTCATCTGAATAATAAACACAACTCTTAGATGCCTTCGATAAATTAATCTGCACATCCCTGACAGTTTTCCACTACTAACTAAAATTTATTCTGTGAAATTATAGAATATAAATCAGAAAAATATATCATATGAAAAATGGTAACTTGTTTCTTATGCTACTCACTATATTATTTTATCTTATTAAAGTAGGTAGGTATTTTTCTATAAATAGAAACATTCAACTTCTATAATATAACACCTAACAACCAAGTATAATATACGTGTACTTTGTAGCATGAAACTATGTACTTTGTTGAATTATTCTATAATCAATGCTGGTATATAATATATGTAGTAAGTATAGGTATTATTATTCAAACATATTTGTTTTTTTAGTTTGAAAATTCATGCACTTGTGTATTAATCGTATGATACTGAACTACATTATCACTAGAACTTTGATAAATTATGATGATTCTTTCAAAATATATGTATATTTATCATTCGTATTTCGTTTACCCAAATTAATAAATTGTTCCCATAAAAATTGTAATGAATTGTGCACTTGTTGCTCGATAAAAAACTTGATAGGTACTGTATTACACTTAGGTAAATTTATTTACATTTTCATCATTTAAATTACGTTTAAAAATAACACACGGCTCCTGTTTTCCCAAGTGAAATTAAGACAAATGTATTTAAGTTAGTACATATTACGTACTTCAGTAAAATATCTGTGTTACATTTTTCTCTGAAACACAATTCACTTAAGTTGGATTCCCAATCCAAGTCTCACAACAGCGTTATTGTCCACAGCTGAACCAAAAGGTTTTATCAATTTTAGAAATGTATAAAGTAATGAGATGTACTGAAACCGTGAAATAAATCCCCAATGGTTACATTACATCCTCAATAACCAATTTGACTGAACCCACCCATTGCATTTGAATAAAAAAATATCAATACTCCATTTTGATTGGTTCCAAGCGAATTGAATAAAAATGAATCTATCAAAGGTGAGTGTAATTATCAAGATTTAAAAATGAACAATATTATATACATTCATTGGTATATGCTAGGATTTTGGTAAGCTAGTTAAAAAGAAACCTCGGAAATCGCTCTGCTTTATAGTACCATTTATCCACAATCCATAATATAGAATGTTAATAAATTAATAATACATAAATTATGGAATTTTCAAAATATTTGTCTATTTATGTTATATGTTTTAGTTTTTTTTTCAATTTTCGTTAGTTACATTTTATTTTTAAGTCAAAAAGCTAGAAATTTAATACAATGTTTACAATTATTTAGTATTTTTTACTATACATTTTGATAAAAAGGTTTTTCAGACAAGGAACATGAAATGTATAGGGGAGACCCGGGCAAAACGGATACCACGGGCAAAGTGAATATTGTTAATAACTTATTATCTAATGAAGTATTTGAAATATTGTAAAAACATATTGGTAGCACTGTTTGTTGTCATAAGCGGGCATCTAATTTGTTGGTGGTAACTAATGATAATGAATAAATAATAATAGTTTTCTGAATTGTTGACATTTTAGAAAAAAAAATCAAGGTAAGAATTAATTTTTAATTATGTTTATTTTAATTAAATTAATACTTATAATATATCAATATACTTATTAGAACAGTACCTTTAGTCTTGCGTATATATTGCTATATTTAATCTACCGTAGTTTAAGTTATTAAAATTAGTTGAGAAAAAAACTGAACCGGGCAAAATGAATAGGGCAAAGTGAATATATTCACTTTGCCCGTAAATTAAAATATAACATTTAATGATGGAAATACGATTTTATTTTTTTGGTGTAACTCAAAACTAATTAACGTAGGTATGTACCTACTTTTGATTTTCACCAAATTTTAATGGGACCATTTTTCACAAGATAAGAATTTCAAAATATAGCTATTTATAGCCATGATATTTTTTTTCAATTATTGTCGATTAATAATTTTTCACTTTATCAACATTATTGAAAATTGAATAGAATATTTCTCATAAATTGTTCTAATTTTAACAAAAAATAAAGTACCTATACTATAATGTATAATTTATATTTTTCTAGATGGTTTATAAATATGTCCGTAAGACAAAACAAGGTAGTTGGACACAAAATGATCTACAAATGGCCATGTTTGAGTGTCAAAATGGGACCAAAATATTGACTGCATCTGTAATGTATAACATTCCGTTTTCAACATTGTATAGGCATTTTAAATCAGGCTGTGTTGATAAACATCTTGGCAGGTTTAGATCTACTTTTTCCCCTGAACAAGAACAAGAACTGGTTAGCTACTTAAAAGAAATGGATTCGGTTTTTTATGGTCTTTCTAAGTCTGACTTCAAAAGTTTGGTAGCTGTATATTCTCAAAAAAATAATATAGATCACCCAAAAAGCTGGGACATATCAGGTTTAGCTGGTGATGATTGGTTAGCTCATTTTCTAAAACGTAATCCTAATATAGTTCTAAGAACTCCAGAGCCAACTTCTGTGGCTCGAGCTAGGGGTTTTAATCGGCCACAAGTTGAAAGATTTTTTAAATTATTGGAAGAGCAATATAATATTTGTGATTCGGATGCCACTAGAGTTTACAACATGGATGAGACTGGTATTTCAACAACAACTAATAAACCCCCTAAAGTGTTTTCAATTACTGGAAAAAAACAAGTTGGAGTTATTTCTAGTGCTGAGCGAGGAAAACTGACAACAGTTATTGGTTGCTGTAATGCAGCTGGCTCTTTTATCCCGCCTTTTTTTATTTTTGCAAGACAAAAGATGCAACCAAGGTTGATGGATGGGGCTCCTCCTGGCTCCAAAGGGCATTGTTCTGCTAGTGGTTGGACAAATGGTGATTTATTTTTAACGTGGCTTCAATTTTTTGTAGAAATAGTGCGACCCACACCGGATAAAAAAGTTATTTTAGTCTTAGACAACCATGAGTCGCATAAGTATTACCCTGCTTTAAAATATGCTGTTGAAAACCATATTACATTTGTTTCCTTTGCACCTCACACAACGCATAAAATGCAACCATTGGATAAATCTGTTTTTGGTCCCATCAAAAAGTTTTTTGAACAAGAGATTAATGTTTTCCAAAAATCGTATAGTGGTCGTATAATTAATCAATATGATATTGTCAAAATTTTCAGTCCCGCTTATTTAAAAGGAGCTACTCCTCTAAATGCAGTAAACGGATTCAAAGCAACGGGGTTGTGGCCTTTAAATCCTTTTATTTTTGGAGATGAAGACTATGCTCCAGCATCAGTTACTGATAGACCCATGATGAACTTGCCTGTTTTAGACTCAGACACTTATATACCTAGTACAAGTTTAGAACCAGTAATGAACTTGCCTATTTTAGAATCGGACACAAATATACCTAGTACAAGTTTAGAACCAATAATGAACTTGCCTATTTTAGAATCGGACACAAATATACCTAGTACACGTTTAGAACCAGTAATGAACTTGCCTATTTTAGAATCGGACACTAATATACCTAGTACAAGTTTAGAACCAATAATGAACTCTACTATATTAAAACCAACAAGTAATGAAAAGACTACACCAAAAAATACAAAAAAAGTTTATACAAATTGCATTGGTGATCAAAAAGTTTCCCCATCGGAAATTCGGCCTATACCTAAATTTGATTTAGCTAAAATATCAACAAGAAAACGAAAAGGACAACGGGCAGAAGTTTTAACCAGTAGCCCTATTAAAAAATTACAATATGAAAGACTGAAAAATGCAGAAGCTAAAGCGACAAAAACATTACCAAAACGCAAGGTGAAAAAAACATCAAAACAGAAGCCAAATCAAAACGAAAATGAGTCTGAAAGTAATCTCATCTGCCTTATTTGCTTAGAAAAATATTTAAAGGGACCTGAAGGAAAACCCCTTGAAGATTGGATAATGTGTTGTATTTGTGAAAAATGGTACCACGAAGACTGTACATCTTATCTAGGAAAATCTCAATTCATTTGTGATTTCTGTGAAGATGTTGACTGATTAATATTAATTGATTGTATTATTTTATATTTTAAAATTGTTCTTGAGTATTTAATTATTTTATATTTGTTTAATAACCACGAAAAAGTATTTCGTACATCTCATTATTAAGACTTACTTTATTTTTATTTTTTTTAAATGGCTCTTTTATTTTTAATTAAGTAATAATAAAAACTATTTTATTTTATTTTATATTTCTTAATACATGTTTACGAAGGATTAAAGTTATTTTATTTGTTTGAGATTCATGTTTTCATTATTATTTTATTAAAAAATATAGTATAGTTTATTGTTTTCACTTTGCCCTGAACTCGTTTTCACTTTGCCCGGATACCCGGGCAAAGTGAATAATTTAATTTTTTTTAAAAAACAAATTATTGCTCACTAAGGGTTATGTTATTGTAGATTCCAAGTTCAAAATTCTTAAATTAGAATAACTACTAAACATTCTTTATTATTGAATTAAGTTTAAAGCTATTGTTTAATGTTATTTTTTGGTTTTGAATTTAACATATTCACTTTGCCCGGGTCTCCCCTATGTACATCGTACCTACATGGTTTCTTAAGAAAATAGTTTCTAAGACAATAGTTTCTATAATTATAGATTTTTCTTATAGAAAATTGTATTATTATTGAACTCAAGTTTCACACATCCATTACACTATACAAACTACAGCCACCAACCCGAGGACGAGGTGAAAACATTCGAAATCGACTATAAGTACATTACAGCAACTTTCTTGGCGTTTTTAAAAAATAATTCTTGAGTAAGATTTACAAAACAGCCTTTTCAGAGATTATCTGTCATATTTCGAAAGTCCCATTAATAAAATGCATACTATTATATTTTAATCTCATAATAATTTCTTTCTGATGTGAAGTCCATAAATCACTAACTATACTGACTCTGCAGTCTTTTGACACTAACTTTAAGATACTAAATTCAAACACGTAATATAATTTTCACGATAACAACTTTAAACCTTCTTTTACGTAGGTAGTAATACCTTTTACATAGGTTTACATGGATTTTTTGAAACATAACTTAAAATGTCTTTAGTACTTTCTCGTTTGTTTTGTAATTAAAATTTTCAAATAACATTTGTTAAATATTTTAGAATGTAATATAATATGGACAGACGAATTTCATTTGTTTCATATAATATAGCGGTAATTTGATTTGGTATGATATGGTATTTATAATTTATATGTTCAATATATCTGTCGTTATTTGTTATAATTATTATGGAGCCTGATAAATTTCAGAGATATTATTTTAATCACCTACATTTTATAAATTTTCATTATTATTATTTAAGTACTTTGTACTTTATACAATCTATACAAGGTATACCTATAATATGATATACCTATACTCTAATACAAGAAAAGAAATTTAAATTATTTAAAAACTGGATTTGTTCATTCAAACGAAATATTTCCAATTAAAAAAAATACGGGTGCACTACCATTATACATTTTAGTTCCATAACTAAGCTCTTAATATTATTTTAATTTATTTTTAAGTTCAACCATTGATTTAATTTTGTTTCAATATAGACACAACAACAAAATGTGTATCTAATGCTTTTAAACTTTTAGAATGATATTAATTTGCTACAAAAAAAAAACAAACTCAACTCAGAGAAATAAAATATATTATATACACTTTTTAGTTTATAATTAACTATGTGTACCTATATAAAATGTGTGGGATCATGTTAGGAATTACTTATTAGTAATAAGTAATAAGTTATTACCTACCTTATATGAGTTATGAGTTTACAATATATAATACCTGCAGTGGCGTGCCCAGGATTTCTAAATGGGGGGGGGGGGGGTAAAAGAAGGTCCAGATTAACAACATTGTAGCTAGTAGACTCTAAACTAATGAGCAAAAAAAAAAATAGCTAATCAGAAAATAAGAGCTCCTATAATATACGTTATACTAATATAATAATTAATAAGCTACTAATTAATAAGTCACTACATAAGTACAATTAAAGTTACTTTTAACTGAACATCACAGAGAACATAATTATTATTGATTAAAATAAAATATGTGAGACTTTTAAATATGATTATGAGGTATATTATAATATAACGATTGCGATTTATGAATATTGAAAGACAAGTGGCAACGATATATAATAAATATAAAATAATATTATATAATTTCTTGATTCAATGTGGGGGGGAGTTAATCCCTATCCTCCCATGACCCCCTCCACACCACTGAATACCTGAATAATATATTTTTTTTTATTAAATAATTTTTAATTCGTTAGTAGGTAGGTTTTGGGAATGATTAATGATGTTTAATGTGCATACAACTAAGATGTACATTTGATTTAAAAACAATATCATACTTAAATAAATCGGGCCCAAATTAAATTCTGCCTATCTTTCGATGGTATTGTCTCTTGCGATTGCATTACTATATGTTTAAGACATCCAATACAAATTAAAATATAAATTTAAGATTTTTAGTATACAAATTTTATATTTAACAAACAATAACATAATTTATCTAGAAGAAGTAGATATTCTAAGTTAATTTTTGTTTTTTCGGAAGTAGTTCAATATCCTCATTTTAACATAGTGATAGATTTTTGAAAATCAATTTTGTTTTTTTTTTGTGCAACACGATTTATAAAGAAATCACCAATCTACAATGGAATATTTACCAAATACTTAAACTGATATTTTTTAAACATTTTATAATTGTTGAAATATTGTTGTCTATTTTAGACATTTATAGTTTTTTTTTTTTATAATAATTTATATTATCACATTTTATTTTATTTTTTAGTTTGGGATAGGTAATACAGCAATTTGAAAATATAGAAAATTCATAGATTAATTCTGTAAAAATAAGGAGTTTTCCTTAATAGAATTTAGTTATGTTGTTTTGTTCAAAAAAAATCGTAGAAACTTGAAACTTACACCATTACTTATATTGTTTGTACATAATCAAACTGTCTTCAGTACCTTGAGCTTATTGAAATTTCTTTGTCAAATGTTAGTTTAACATAACAAATTGTAAATTTATATTGCTCAAAATCATATTTGTGTACTCAATAGTTTAGTATTGAATTCAATTATAACATATCCATTAAAGTGGCCTGCTTGGTAGGTACAGTCGAAACTTAGTACCTATGCAGCTGGAGCACATTCCTCGGGTTTTTATTTTAAACTTTGTTAATTTGTGATTAAATAACATTCGAAACTATAAGGCTTGTTTTATCAATTCAAAGATGAACAATCAACTCAACTCTAAGGCGACATAATATACTTAATATATAATAACTATAAATTCTTGGATTTTTTCCAATATTCTCAGAAGTTATTATGTTCTACGTAATATATATATATATATATATATAGGCAGATACCTAGTAAAAAGTTTCATTATCTTGTATATATCTGATAGGCAATAGTTAAAAATAATGATTAAAACATTATTTTCTTATAATAATATAATATATACCTATGTACAACATACAAATAAATCAAGAATTTTAATTCAATGATTTGTACAAATATTAAAATCAATTTATAAGTGCACGGAATATTCATTAGAATATTAGATACATACCTATTTATTATAATTGAATATAATATTCAAATATTTAATCATGGTTTAGAGAATTAAAACGATGTTGAAATCAATTTTGGAATCATTACAACCATCATGACTTTTGCAAAGCCTCTTATTTCAAATTTCAGTGATCAACAGTGGAATTTACTTACAATAATAATGCAAAAATTAATTTTATATTTATAATATTAAATTATTATGTTTTAGTATTTCTATTATTTTTTTTTTCAGGAAACAGAATCTTGTTGTTTCCGGAAGAGGAAAGTTTTTCAAAACTCGTCTATAGACTATAATACAATTTTATAATAGGTACATTATGGTACATTTACAAACGAATTATATTATATATATCGAAGATCAGAATATTTTTGATTTTAAATTTAGTCATTCTTCAGTCTTTGCGCCACGTGGCGAATTCCAGCGAAAAAACCGTCGAGAGATGCGACAGCAGACGGTGCCAAAACAGTGATAGGAAATAGCAACGAATTCGCACGCCGATTTAAACATTAAACTATTTAGGCCGCAACAAGATGAGCGTACACAATTGGAATGAGCAAGACGGAGATATGTGTCTATTTTTGTTATGTCAGAGAATAAAATGTTAGTTCATTAGTAGTAGAAACAAACAAACCAAGGCGATGTTCCATTGTGCAGACGGCCAAAACCTATCTGTATAATCGATTTCCACCGCGTAATACAAGTAGGTATAATAGTAACCCTATATAATATAACATATTCAATACTGCACAAGAAACCCATAAAACAGTTATAGAAACTGTAAAACTGTAGAATAGCCAATAGGTATCTATATAATAGACAATACTTATCAGGAAGTAGTAACTCTTATACTTAATAATTGCACTATTACAAATAATATCATATCATTTTTAGGTTTTCTATTTTTATTGTCTAACACTTTAAGGAACATACAAAAGTATTTATCTATTTAGTTTATGAAACTACAATCAATTAAAATAATTTTGTTTTATTTACAATAAAATTACAATAAATATAATTTAACAATTAAGCATTTTGATGCATGCACAAATATTTATATATAATCAGTGTTCGGACTTATCTAGATAATTCATCTAGATAATTTATTATTTGTTCATTTTTTATCTTATCTAGATAAATAGTTACAAGGTATCCATCGTTCATCTTCGATGATTTTTTATTAATCAAAATAAATTCATCCAGATACATTTTTTATTGATAAAAATTGTGAAATTGTACAAATGCATTTTTATATATTTATACAGATTCTCAAACAAAGTATATGGTTTATAAATACCTAATGTAATTATATTTATTCATACCATTATTATTATTATGTTCTTAGTGCCCAACTAAAATATACCTACATTTAAAACCATTTAAAAAATTAATTGTATCTTTT